TGCTGAGTAATGGATTGCCAAGTGCTACTATTAGCTCCCTTCCCTTTCAATAGGTAGAAGCCAAGGCACTTTATGCAATGCACGATCTGCCGAAAAGAGAAGTGTTCTGGAAAACACGATTCATGACCTCACAATATATGGGGAAAACTATGCACAAACATTTAGCCAACTATATGTATGTATCAACTCATCCTTCTATCATTTTCAAGTATGATGGCATCATTTAATCCCCCTTACTGAAGCCCAAGTTAATTGAAAACGTTTAAACCAATCATATTCCTTTTGAAATTTTTGCCTTCCTTGATAATATTGAAAGATTTCACGTGTGCGTGCGTGTTTTGAGGGTGCTGTCAAGTAACTGGGAATCCGCCAAGACAAAAAGCATCAACAATGTAGATATGAAATGATACTCAGTTAAGACAAACACCCTGGCTTTACCCCTCACTCCTCAGTCACCTTCATGGATGGGGTTTAGGCGAGTTGGGCAGATCCTTTGGGATGCCCAGATCTTGAAAAAAATAAGTTTCCTTCTGTTTCACGTGAAGTGCGGAAAAATGTATTGGTTTGGTGGTAGAGGAACAACGTTCCCAGTGGGAATATGATGGACAGCACCAGATAGAAACACTTCCAGTTTGGCCTTGGCTTCAGTGTTCAACATAATGTACAGCAGGCATCAGTCAAGTCTCATTTCGAAGACTGTTGATCCAGTGATCTTAGATGCTGTCTTTGTGAATGTATTTCAGGAAGAAAAAGCTAGATGATAAGGCTATGACTAATTAAAACAATGACTCAAGAGGCCCTGGATTGCACATAATCATCACTTCAATGTTCCCAGGAGATTGCCATGGTTTACACCCAGTGGGAACTCAATAGATGTTTGTCGATTGACTCACCTACCAGAAGAACAGGACAGAAGAAGACACAATCTAAACAGGGAATAAGATGGAGAGAAAGATCTTTTTTTTTTTTTATTTTGACAGAGCCTAAAAATCTTTAAAAGTTTAAATTTTCAGTATAGAGTATTTGAAATGGAAAGGGGTTTAGCAATCATGTAATTTACCTTCATTTTACAGAGGAGAAACCTGAGGCTTAGAGAAGTCAAATTACTCAAGATTCAGAAGCTAAATACTGAAAATATTTTATTTTTTACTACTCCGGCAGGTAAGAGCCAGACCCTGGAAAGAGGTCTGCCTGGTTTTCAAATCTTGGCTCTGCCGTTCACCAACTCTATAGTTTCAGAGTAAGTTATTTAACCTCTCAACCTCAGTTTCTCCCTCTCCCAGCCTCAGTTCTTCCATCTGTAATGGGGGGGAAAGAAGTGCACAGCCTTAAGGATTAAATAAGCTATTAATGTAAAGCACTGGATAACCATACTCCACGCACGGAAAATGTTAATAAATGTTACTATCTATTTTCATTGCATCACACCACTTGAACACCCAGTCTGGTCCTGTAATCCTAAGATCACAGGCTTTCAAATGTAAACTCAAAGTTTTAAAAATCTAGAGAGGCTTGCTTTAGTGTGGCTTAGGGCATAAAAATATCTTTCTGTTATCTCCAGACAAGCAAAGGGAAGATTTTTTTTTTTTTTTCCTTTCTCAGCCTCATCCAGATGGCATAACACTGTAACCCAGCACCTAAAAGAAAGACCTGGGTGATTACTCACGTAAGGGAAAAGCGTATTCATGTCTTTATTTAACTGCTGGTATCTGTTCCTGCCTTTAAATGGCACTGACCTATTTGCTCTGTTTGCAGAGGAAATTCTATCATAACCTCCGAGAATTCACTGACAGCAGCGAGAGTATGTTTAGGCTATTTTGCAAAGCTATTGCCAGCTCCTCGGTTGGGGGGAAAACTGTTTGCAACATTCTTTTTCTGAAGAAGAAAGTCATAGGTGTTCTAAAAGCAACAGATAGTTGTTGAGTTGGCTGCGCTCGGTAACATTTTCATAGCCATCATTTAGGGCTGGCTGATTCGTGGGCAGTGACACGCTGGGGAGACTGGCTGCTGGTTTAGGTTAAGCCCATCTTGCCAGGCCCTCTTGCCTTCGTCCTGTTGCTCGTCACCAATTATCGAACCGATCTTCCGTTAGAGCACAGCCACCTCTGCTCAACAAGCTGGAAATGAACTCGAAACTTAATTTGGAATCAAGTTTCCAGACAATACCATTATTTGGAAGAATGCCATTCCTAGAGAAACTTCAGAGGAAAAAAAAAATACTCATTTCTTAAGGAAACTAGATCTTAGAATAATATACTGTAAGCTCGATACTCAAAGGGCTGTCTACACACCAGCCGTCAGCATTGCGGGGAGGAAACAGAGTGCCAGGCCCCAGCCAACCCTGTGACTTGGAATTTGCATTTTTTAACAGATCCCAGAGTGACTCGGGTACACGTTGAAGGTTGGGGACAACTGACTTAGAGAAATGGCTGTGGGGAGCAGGATTCTAACACGTCATCACTGTGTTGAGTGACCACAGTGACGGAAATCAGGCAATAACTGGAGTGGGTGCCAGAAACTTCCAGGATCGAATACTAACCCTTTGCACTCGGATGTCGAGATGTCAAGTGTGACTCGACACGGTTAGCAAAAATCACAGAGATTAAAATTACTCTTTGAATGTATCAATAATTTGAAACATAAAAAAATAAAATCCAAATAAATAAGTTCGTATGGAAAGAAACTCCAGTTTTTTTTTTTTTTATTCTACTGCCGCGCTTTGTAAAACCTGGGGTATTTAAAAAAAAAATTAAATCCCGAGTAGAATAAAGGAATCGAGAAAGAAAGCAAGCGAACGCAAAGGGTTAAAAATAACAACGGTGGAATCTAAGTGGACATTTGGTAAATTAAATTCGTTTTTCTTGGAGCATTATGTGTAAGATAGGCCCATTTTAGTTTTTGTCGTCCTTGCTGTTAACTGTGATGCCCATAAGAGCATCCGCCGTTGGCACCGTGCGTACAATAAGGAAAGAAAGAAACAAACGCGTGACCGTCTTCCTGTACTGGGAATGGCTTGGCATGAGCTCACACTCAGTGTCAGGACTCAGTGCATGTAAAGACCTCTAGGGTTGGTCGCTGGGACCATTGTGTCTTGACATCAGGGACAGGAAGCTGTGTAGTTGGAACTCCCCCTCGATGATCAGGATCCAATGCCTCTTGAATCAGAAGGAAAAGCTAGTCGTTGGAATTGGAAGTACAAGAGTTCAACTAGTTGTCTTCAGGTAGTTAGTGTCGTGTCTTCCCAAACTGCTGCTCACAAAGAACTGGCCCACGACTGTATGGGTTTTACGGGTTTATAGTAGCAGATGTTAGTGGTCACTCTTGACGGCAATTTCTGGGAGCTTTTGTCTCTCTTGTTTCCTCCAACTGCCTCCTGTTCATTTTAGTCAGTCTTTGGTGTCGTGTGTGTGGTGTGTTGTGTGTTGTGTGTGTGTGTGTGTGGCTTGGTAGAAACTGATAAAGAGAAGGCCTTGAAGGGTTTAATATACAAGAAATCGAAATCATGGTTGTTTTCTAAGATGACAGTTTAGAAAATAACTGTATGTTGTGTTATCACATGCACCCTGTATCCCACGATGCCAGAAGAAAACTCATTCCTATATAATCAATAATATTCTTCCTGAAAAGAAAGGTCTTGCTCTCAGTATTTATTTTCTGCACAAGAATTATTCTTCAGAGTTTTTTTGCATTCGCTGCTCAGAACCAGTGATTCTGGATTGTAGAGATTCTTGAATATGAATTCTTTTTCTTTCTTAATCTGGGAAAAATGTTTTATATCCTGGAGGACATGAATTAGAAATACTCCTGATGTGATGTTATTAGTCTTTAAACATACAATGTTATAACCGATCTGTATTTACTTAGAAAAGCAAAGAAAAAAAAATAGAATCTATTTTCAAATCCATTGTGATACGCACAATTATTGTGTCATTTTTTCCAGCCATGGAAGGGTAATACTGTCAATGAATATAAATGTAAACATGAGCAATATTTTAGTAATGGATTAACTTGTATTTTCTTAAAAGCTAGTTTTTATTAATGTCCATTCTTATTTTTGTTAGTTTTGATGAAAATTTCCTATTATATAATCTCAAAACTTACTAATCCTACAGGGTATGAAACATGCTTAAATGAAAAGTGATGAGTCCTATTTACAGTGCACTTCAAACCTACTTATATTATCTAAAAATCAAAGCATATTATAGACAATTATCTTATGAACGGGTAACCATCCAGGTAGTGTTTTTTTATACAGAGCCCTCAATTCTAAATATTCCTCTTTATTTCCATTTTCTTGGCGTTATTTCCAAATCTTTTCATTTTAATGCTTTGTCAATGACAGAGAAGATAAAAAAGCGTCGAGTCCTGTTGGTACCTTCTCATTAAAAGGAGAAACAAAAGAGAATAAGTAATCAAGGTTTATTATATTCAACTTTCAGTGGTTTGTTATATTTCTCCTTCATTTCTCTAACACCAGTGGGAAATGTAAATAGGTATTTTGTAGAATATATTTTCAAAGGTTTATCAGTTGAGTGAATATTTTTAAAAATCAGTGTATAAACAGGCTGTATTATTCAATGTTCAGGAAGAAATATCTAGCGTGTT